TTTTGTTTTATTCATGTATGTATAATATTGTATTGGGATTATATTGTACTTTGATAACAATAAAATTATTTTTACATTAAATACATAGTTTTTACAACCTTAATGGATGCCATCTTGGAATTTATCATGATCACGTCATCATTCCGATCAAATTTTTAAATGAGAGTGATGAGTAACCATTTAGCCAAGATGTTGTTACATTTCATATCCACAGTATATGTAAAAGTGACTAAAAACATAAATTTATTTCCCCTACCCCCATCTTAAATAGTTTAAAATAGGGTATTTTAGGTCAAAATTTCAAAGTGCTGTAGAAAAAATTGCCCAAGCCCTAGGCATGGGGATTTTTTTTCTGAGACACTATAGGGTATGCTGATTCAGAAAAACCAAAAATTTATTTTCCTTCACTTTTTTCCCGCTAAAGTTCATTTCAGCATTTTTACAACCAGACTAACTACAAAGTATATATCAAAGAAGTGGGATTAATGAGGATAAGCTTATAAATTGTTAAGGGATTTAATCACTTAATATTTACAAGGATATATCTAAAAGAATTTCAGTAGATAAATTATAGTAAAACGTACACATTCTTCACAAGGCAAAACCGTTGTCGATTATGCCCGTACATTTTTGAATACATCAAATATATGATGGTAGAAAACAGAATAGAATTTGTTCACATGTCGATAATGTTTGATATAATGGCCACAGTTAATATGAGAAAAGAAAATACAATTATAGACCACGTTTGGGTCAAGGTTTTCCATGGTTTTTAGCAGCGTCTCAAATTAGAACAATAAAGATAAAAGACATTTGGTCTTTTATTGGAGTTGGTCTCTAATTGTTGGGGTCTTTAATTAGAGGGAGACCTGTACACAACGCGTCGTGCTACAAAAAGCATGAATGGAACATCTTCATATTGCTTTGCCTTATAATGTACAGAACAAGTTTAAGAAATAAGCTCACCTCCTCCGGCTTGATGATGACAACTAGTGGAACTGTGAGCAGTACCATTACAAAGAGACACACAAACATCGGTGTGAAATTCACATTGCTAACATTGATCCCACAGTAATAAGCTGTTGCAGTTGGTGTTATCCAGGAAGCAACAAATAGGCTAGAGTTGGTACAGAAGAAAAATGTATTGTCAAGATTTTCGGGGGTGGATTCAGGGCTGGGGGAAGCCTGCTTGCTCCCCAATGTTTCGAACATTTTTTTTTTTTGTAATGGAGATAAAAAGAAAATTATATTAAAATATTCAGTCATTTTTTGGAGGTGTAATTATAGGGGTAGCGAGTCTACAGGTTAAAAAGCAGACGTGTTCAAGTCCTGTTGAGATGTGGAGGCCCAGTTTGGACTGGAACCCTAGTGAGCACTGTCGCTGCTGACCAAGGCCGCAAGTGTTCCGGGGTGAAGCATGCTGGTTGCCAGGGGTCTTTGCAAGAGTTTAGAGGTCCACACTTGATTTCATTGAGGCGTTTGTATTTGCAATACAAATACAATGCTTTATTATGAAAGGCAAGTAGACAAAATTTGAAAATAAAGTAGGCCTTACAAAGGCTATTGACGTAGGCAACAAAATAGAGTGAATGCAACAAAAGACAGCGGAATGGAATTCGGCGGCACGATTCTCCAAGTTACTTTTGGTCGCCGTCAATTCACTTTTACGGTGCAACAGCTACTTACTTTTAAAACTATCTCTATAAAATTGAATATTAGAACCTCTAAGACCCTCAAAATGGCTCTGCGTCTAGCAGGCTTTACCCCTGAAGAATTGCCATAGCATTGGTGCCCTCATGTTTTTCAGACAATCGAATTATCACAACGTAAAGTTTAGAAAATTAAAAGTATCGGAAAAATGAAAATGAAATTAAATGTATGTGTGCCACTTCGGGTCATATGAAATTTCGATCCGATCACTTAAGTTTTTAGGTTGTAATAATTCCCTGAAATTTTTCCACCCAGACCTGTATTTGTTTTGTACCTGTACAATTTCTTTAAACAGAATTAAACAATTTAATTTATTTAATGTACATTTAGGCATTTTATTAACATCTATGTTTTTGTTATCAAAATATATTTTTCAAATGTTCTTATAATGTAACTATTTTTATATATTTACACAATCAGCGGCGTTACTGGAGGTGACACCTCGGTGCAAGATTGTCAGGCACTTTAATGAGGTTAGTTAGTTATCACTGTTAATCCCAGTGCCAGATCCAGGGTGGCATCGGAGCGGGGGGGGGGGGGCTGGTTCTTCGGACAAACCCCCCTCTGTGAAGAAACGTAACAAAATGCAACTGGGTCATGGCTTACAAAAAGGCATGCTAACCTACCTAGGCATAGGTTGAAAGATCAGACAAACTAGGCTTAGCCCAATTAGCCTCAATTGAATAAATTATACACACTGTTTTTGGTTCGCTGTCGTAATAATTTATGTAAGAAAGTGCGTTCTTCAGGCCTATTCATCGATCCATGAAAGAAAGACTACATCTACTCAATGTTGTTTGAATATAATAATATATTGCCTGTCTTTATTTTTTTCCTCTATGAGGCCTAAAGAATGATAAAATTACCTGACCTTTTTTCAAGAGGGGGAAAACCTTGAATTTTGAAGAACCTAAAGGTCATTAAAAGACTCCTCAGAAGTCGGGAAAGCTCATTTCCGGCCAATTAGAAATCAATATTTTCCAGGGGGAGGACACCCGGACCCCCACCCCCTTCCTGTTGGGGTTTTTTGAAAACATTTTGAACCCCCTCTTTTAAATCCCGGAGCCGCCCCTAAATCCCTTCCTATACACGGAAGGACCTCAGGATATTTCATAATATAAATGAAAGAGTAATTTTAATTTAAGCGCTAGAACTAATCAAAAACAACAACACTGACACTCCAACTTACATGGATCCGAATCCTAGAGCACCAAACGATCTTTGATATGGAAGCTTGTGAATTTCTTCCTCGAGAGCATTCATTGTAAACACATCAATTAGAGAATAGATACTTATGATAAAAACTTCAAATGGTAGTAAAAAAACACACAGTTTGTAAAAGGAGGTTTGCACGTCCCCCTGCTTGTATAACCACGAACGATCGGACGCAATGAATTGCTCATCAGTACATGTCGGATGCATGTTGCAAAACAAGGAGAAACTTCGGTTAAATTTTACATGAATGTCATCACAAGATTCGTGAACATTTTCTGAGAATGCAAACGCTAGCCATAATATTGACAACAACATTAGCAAACTGCACACAATGAGACTTGTTTTACGTAGTCTGAACTTGTCCACGATAAATCCAACAGCTAATGCTACACAGAATCCTGCAATTTGGTTAGCACCAAGTAAAACACCGACTTGATTGGGCTTTAGTCCTAGCTGCTTCATAAACAGCGGAATGTATGACTTCAGTGTTGCAAAACTACCAACAGTGTTGAAATATAATAATTTAAACTTTAATAAATCCGTATTAATTGTGTTGGAAATATTTGAACAAATCTCCATGCTCATCATGCTTTCACTGCCAATGCTATCGCTTTTTTTTTTTTATGTCTTGTAGTGAAACCACCACTTTTATAATGCTATCGCTTTTACTGATTATGGTACTGGAACTAAACACAAAACTGTTGTCATTATTTCTGCTCATTGTTTTTGATAAGGTCACGGATTGTGTTTAATACAATGACTCCATTGCAAAGTTATCACAATTAAAATAGCGAGCTAAAGTCAAATTGGGGTCAGTGCATTGCTCCGAAGGTCCTTTGGTCTGAATGGTCGTTGGTCCGAAGGCCCGTTGGTCCGAAATTAATATATTTGAAATGTGAACAAAAATTTAAAACAAGAAAACACATGATAGACCTATAGCTAACAGTAACAATAACAAATTATTAATTGTTGAAAGATGCTCAACTCTGCAACATCCTATCCGCAAACAATTAACTTGACGCGAGGAATAATATAATCTTATTGTTAGACTTCATGTGAAGAGATAATTACACATTTTTTAGGCTATTTTCACGCAGGTTCAACGTCAACTGGCTCATGTTTCAAACTTTATTTGTAACTATCCTAAAACGTAATTAAGACTTTTTTACATTTAGGACCTAACTTTGGTTTATTATACATTACAGTACTAGACTACTTGCGAAACCTGATTTTTGTCAAGTATATTATAATATATAAAATTAATAAAGTTGCATAGGCAAAATAACAGTGACAAAATAAATATATGTATGTATATATATATTATAGGCCTATATATATATATATTATAGGCCTATATATATATATATATATATGATGAAGACGAAATATTCGTGTTAAATAAATTGTGTACCAATTAAAAATACGTCAACTTGACTTTTGTTTTTATTGTCATCGCCTTCACCACTATATATATATATATATATATATATATATATATATATACTTTATATATATATATATATACATACTGTATATATATAAATAAAATATAAGTATTCTTTAAAGTAAACAACAAAAGCATAGATCACATCATACACAAATCATATAATATATAAATATAAAAATAAAGAATCACTCAAGGAAGCAGATAAAAAACGCATTCAGTGGTAAAGAATATCCTTAAATTAAAGGCTACCTAAGAGCTCAGCTGACATAACAAACCGTTTCAATAAGTATTATAACAATTATTTTTGGAAAACCAGGTCACTAAAATTAGGAATATTTGGACCAACGGGCATTGACCAAAGGTATACTCACCCAACTAAAATTAGGAACTTCGGGCCAAAGACTCTTCGGACCAAAGACCCTTCGGACCAAGGTACGCACCCGGCTTGCCAAAGCAATTTTATTACTTTTTCTGTACATTTTGAGTAGGCCTATGCTGATTCCAAAAATACAAGGGTCCATTTTTTTCCGAGATTGTCTTGTTTTTTTTTTTTAAGAATAATTGACATATTTGCATTCACAAAAAATAAATTAAGCCGGTTTTCTTTTTGTTGGCCATTTTGATATTCAAGATGGCCGCACTTTACGATTGAATATCACCATTGAACAAGTTGACATGGAAAACATAAGGTTTACTATCAAAATCATGTCGATACCTGCTATAATATCATAGTTTTATTGTTATTATTACTGTAAAATGGCAGCCATTTTGAAATTCAAGATGGCCGCCATGTATGATTCGTGAGAATTACACCATTGGACAGGTTGACATTGAAAACACAGGGTTTGCTAACACAATCTAGTCGATACCTGCTTTAATAGCAAAGCTGTTGTTATTCTTACTGTAAAAACGGTAGCCATTTTCAAAATTCAAGATGGCCGTCATTTAAGATCCATGAGAATATCACCATTGGACAGATTGATATTGTAAACATAAAGGTTGGTACCAAAATCATGTCGATACCTGCTCTAAAAAAAAAAAAAAAAATGGAATTGGGGAGGAAAAGGGTTTCGAAATGATGATTATGATTATTAATGCCTGACTCTGGGTGTGTTCTTTTGTGTTTTGTTTATCATTATTATTTTTTGTTGATGTTTATTATTATTGTTATTATGATTGTTTTATCATTATTAATAATATTATTATTATTATTTTTTTTCCCCTTTTTTTTCCAGGACCACAATGAAAAACATTTCTTTAAAATGATTGTGTCATCCTGGCTAAAGATATTAGTAAATAATGGCACAGTTATGGTTATTTTTAATGTGAAAATGGCAGCTATTTTGAAATTCCAAAATGGCCTCCAAGGCAAACTCGGAAAAAATGGACCCTCGCATTTTTGGATTCAGCATACCCAAAATATACAGAAAAAACAATAAAATTGCTTTGGGCAATCCTATCTCGCAAACTTTGTTTATTGAACATTATGTTTCACACTAGAATGAAATTCCACCAATCACACCTTGGTCACACGTCGGCAAATTAGCAAAAATATGTTAGTGGTGCAGACAGTTGGTCTCTTTTTCAAATTATTTGGAACATGTTTCTAATTTCACTGAATGCATATTTCTGCGCCTATTATGATGAAATTACACAATTGACCTTTAATTTAATCACTGAATCTGCATCTTTACGACTTACGTCTCAAATGTGCATATTTCTTTTAAATATAATAATAGCAAGGATGGAAATATAGTCACACCATGGTCACACGTACTGTTCATATGCAGGTTAGCTGTAAAATATTATGCTTTTATATATATATTTGAATATCAAAGAGCCAACATACCATACTCTCAGTTTAACATGAACCTAGTATCTTTTAACAGTCGCAATGAAGAAGTAAAGGTACCGTAGTTTATGCAACTCATGTTGGCTTAACGAAGTAGAAGATGCATACCATTTCTGTTTAATTTGTCCTACTTATAAATCAGAGAGAGTGGGTGAAGGTGGGGGTCGGGGATAGATAGAGAGAGAGAGAGAGAGAGAGAGAGAGAGAGAGAGAGTCCTTACTGTCGCCTTACCAATGGGTTAACCCGAACCGTTTTTAAGTACTGTACTATCAGGTGTGTAGGACTACAGTACTTCTAAATTAAAAGGTTAGTTAAATATAACAAAATATAACAAATGATTGGCAACTTCAAGAAATAATCAGATAAATACACATCACTGTTAGCATCACACCTATGATCTTTTTTCCATATAGGGCCAAAAAATATTATATACATTACAAGTTAAATTACTTATTTAAAGCGTTATTTAATTTTAATAAAGTTAATAACTAATAAAAAAATCCCAATAACCGGTAGTTATGGAGACAACATGAAATAGGGCCTACTATATCTGGGTTATAAGTTTTAGTTCTGTTAACTATTGTGATTGCTTCTCTATCTTAGAAATATATTACTATTTATTCGAATAAACGCCCCGCTTTGAATATGGCCCTCCAGCTTTATTTGGAATCAGTGGCGCATTATAGTCTCTGTCTCTTATACACATCTAGATCTAATAACATTAGTCACAGAAACATGCAAATTCTGTGAAGATAAGGTCAAGAGTCAGTGGTAAAATGTTTTATTGAAGCGAATAGAAACATACGTTCTGAATTATTTGAAAAAGAAAGCAACACTCGATCTGCGACCATCGGTTGCCAAAATATGGGATCGCTATATAATTTGTATAATTACGAGCTAATTTGCACATGAAGAGTACATGTGACCATGGTGTGATTATATATTGTTATCCCTTCTATTATTATAATGCAAAGGAACATGCATTTGAAATAATCTGAGACCTGAATTAAGTTTCTATATAGGCCTACATTAGACACAGTCACGGATACAGTAGTGATGATATTAGGGTCACCTATTATCTCTTTGTCTATGACTTTGAATCCTATATAAAATTCATTTATTAATAAATAAAGTAGTATTTAAAGATTTTTTAAAAAAATTCTTATTAATTACAATGCTTGCTTCAACTGTTTCCCCGCATTTTTATTTTTTTTAACGAATTCTCAATTTTTTTTATGTCAATTTCTCTATCTTTTGCGTTATCAATTTTCTGCTGTTTCTTTTATATATTTGACAAATTTTGTTCGAAATGGTATATATATAGGCCTATCATGAACAGAAATTACAATAATTAATGTTCGTCAATGATAATTCCATCACATTCCTCCATAATTATAGGCCTATTTATCGTTTGTGTTAATATACTGTAGTTCATGCTTTTGTTCATGGTCTTTTATGTTAAAATAAATAGCCTATTTACAGTGCGACATTTTTGGGGTGTTTTATATTTGAGAATTCACGCAGCTGACAACTATATTGCCAAAAACAGTTCATGGAAAGAAGTGAAAACATCATGAATTGTTTTTCAAATATTATGAACAGTATTAATACGGATTTATTAAGGTTTAAACTATTATATTTCATTGTTGATGGTAGTTTTGGAACACTGAAAATATACCTTCCTTTGTTTCTGAAGCAGGTTGGACTAAATGCCAGCGAAGTCGGTATTTTAATCGGTACTTCGCAAATCACAGGATTCTGCTTATCCGTAGTTCTTGGATATGTTGTGGATAAATTTAGAATACGTAAATCGTGCCTCATCGCTAGCAGCTTCCTCCCGATGCTGACATTATTCGGCTTAGCATTTAAATTCTCGCGAGACGATTTAGCATCATGTGATATTATGCATATGAAATTTAACCAGAGTTTTTCTTCGTTCTGTCAACTTTATCCGACGTGTACTGAAAGGAAATTGATTGCGTCCGATAGGTCTTGGTTGTACGAGCAAGACCAAAGTCTGTTGTACAAAATATGGAGTTTCTTACTATCAATTGAAGTTTGTATATTGAGTTTGTATTCTCTTGTTGATGTGTTTACAATGGACGCTCTCCAGAATGAAACTCATCGCCTACCTTATCAAAGATCATCTGGTGCTGTTGGTTTTGGATGCGTGTAAGTTCAGTGATTTTTTTTCTTTAAAGAATTTTATTGAGAAAATAAGCAGTTTCCACACACTGGGTTGTTTTCGTCAAAGCATCGCACTATTTGGGCGAACTAAACAATCTTCAGCAAATGGCACATTGTGTCGAGTGCGTGTTATTTATAATACGGTAGTTTACTGCGAGGTTGATTTCATCCAATAGTCGCGCGAGTTCTACGAGTTAAAAACTCGTGAAACTCGTGATTTAATTCACTTAGATAAGGACCTCTATACGAGCCTACTACGTGTTAGCTACGAATGAGGCACGACCTTATGGAATTGGTTTTATTTACGAACTATGCCGAGCGAAGCACCGAGTTTACTACTAGCTTTACGGGACGAGCGTAACTAGTTTGTAAAGTATTAAATACGGTACGAGTTCGGTACGAGCTCCGACCAAATGTTCCTGGTTATCGTAACCAACTCGGTGCGTTCGTATTTAACTCTTACTCATTTCGGTGTGCTCGCATCAAACTCGTGGATTACAAAACCGCCAACGAGTGTCCCGAGTGTACGAGTTAGGTAGGCAACTCGTGGCACTATTAGTGCCACGAGTCCAGAGGTGCTACGAGTACGTACGAGTTCTGGTCCGAGCTTCAAGAATCGTCCTACGAATTTTTGCAGAGTTTAACTCGTATGCTGAAAAACCCCTGGTGGGAGAGGGGCTTACTCACGAGTCAACACGACTTAGAACGAATTAGAGCAAATTTCGAATTGCCTTGAGTCAAGTATGAGTTTACTGCGAGTTTTACAAATTTGCTACAAGCTTCACGAGTCTGTAAACGTGTTAAATACGAGTAGGCCTATCCTAAACTAGGCGTTCTTGGATCGTAGTTCTAAGATTGAAACTCTATGTACTCATAAAAGGCCAATTCTAACTCATTTCATTTCCGGGAAAAACTCAAGTAAGTTTGTAAGAACTCTTAGTTTTGACATACAATAAACTCGAAGTCAACCATGAAAAAGCTCTTAGTTAATTCGTAGAAATTTACTCCGGGTTTTCCGAGTTAATTTATCCTCGTGCTAAAACGGCTTACTAATTATCCGTAGTCTCTGCAGTGCTTTTATCCCTTTGTATATCATATCGTAAGAGCAGGAATTCCTGTGCCAAAATTACTATTTATTTTTGTTATAGGCATAGAGCCTAATTATATTATAACAAATATATATATATATAACGAAGTATCAGCTTCTCTCCTTAAACAATATCAACCTAGATTCCGTCAGCAAAAATCAGGACTTTAAATTACATGGTATCTGAAATATTTTTTTTCACTCTAGCACGTTTTTTGTATCCTCAATATTAATGAAAACAATAACGGCTGATTATTGTGGCAGTGAAGTTAGCCTAGTGGACTTTACACCGATGTTTTTGTGTGTTGTGGTCTTGATACTGCTAACGGTGCCACTAGTTATCACCCTCAACCCCGAGGAGGTAAGCACAGACTTTTTTGGGGGGATCGGTTATGAAATAATTTTTATGAACTGAAGTAGGCCTATTACACACATACACACACACACTTCCTCAATCGTCAGGTGCTAGGCTCACTTGTAAACAAGCGTCATCTTGTTTTGATTTTATATTGCTCTGCTCCTGCATTGAGTGTGTGTGTGTGTGTGTGTGTATGTATATGTGTATATATATATCATATATATGTATAGGAAAATGTTATATGTATATATATTTATATTTGTGATATAGATAATTTCCTACTAATGGTTTATTTAAATTTTCTGAATTATTATAGGTTAAAGTAAATGCCAGCCAAACGACCAACAATGAAACTTAGTCTGGCATCAAGGAATTTTGGAAAAATGGACGCAATGCGACGTTTATGTTCACTGGCCTTGTCATCGGTGTTGTATATGGATACATCATGTCTTATTTGACTTGGAGGGTCGACATCTTGGTAAAACCAGTTTATATATGTAATGTACTATGATATCTATTACACTATGATAAACATAATATATTCAACGGTTCCACTATGTTTAACTTAAATAAAATATTGTAGAAAGTAGTAAAAACACTCTAAACCTAATATACGATAAATTAAACACAGACATGTTTCAAAGAGTTGTTTCATCATAATGCGTTAAGCTATTTACACTAAAAGCTCTTATAAGTCAATCGTGACGTCATCACTGTAACTCCTAATGTTTTTTCTTACTCAAATCTCATAATTATTGTTTTACAACTACTGAATTTAATATGAAAATTTGAGGCCTATTTAAACTTATGTTAAAAACGCAAGGAACGAATTTAGATGCAGGCAGTAGGCCGAGGCCTAGATGGATCCCTAGCTTATAGAAGAAATCATCAAACGATTACCTGTCTGCACCGAGCAAAATGTGATCTGTATTCTCTTTTCTTATTATTTTTTATTTCTCTGACGAATGTCTATCAAAATAGTAAACTCATGACAAGTGCAGTAACAATCCGCATACGCACAGCTAAATGTAATACGCACACAGATAATACTGATCATATCACTATAACAACCGATGACTACACAACAGTTTGATTATAAAACTAGCATTTAAAAGACGGCGATTGACTTATAAAACAGTTGGTATAGTGCTTATCTACACACTGGAGGAAAATTATTATACTTAGGTTAGATTAATGCATTCAAAAATATCCTGGTCTTGAAGGCCCTCATGATTTTTTTCATGGAATAATCTAACCTTCGTATAATAATTTCCACTAGTGTATGATACGCAACTATACTAATTCGTTATTAGGGCCTATGTGTTAACTAAAATATGTTAATTATGAGGAATTCATTCAAAATAAGAATATTTTAGTTCCACGTTTAATGGTTTGAAAATTTGTAGTTTTATTTTTTATTTATTTTCTTTATATTATGATAGTTCGGCCAACAATAAACAATACAAAGCGATATTATTAATATAAATACACACATTATCTACCACGGTGCATGGAGACAGCATAAACAAAGCTAATAGCGAATGTCTTCCCAAAAGTTTGTTTGTTATGACCTACTGTATAGTTAGATTACAAACTTTTAATTGAATTACAGTAGAACCCCTTCTTTTTGGGCACCCCTATTAAGGGGACACTTTTCCGTGAAACGAGGGGCAATATATCTTTTAACACTACATCTAACCCCTATTAAGGGGACACCCCTATTAAGGGGACACCCCTATTAAGGGTACGGGGACGCTTTCTGAATGTGCCAAATGGTCAAATAACCTCTATTAAGGGGACACCTATTTTTTTTTTCATTGTATCACAACAACACAGCAGTCTTAAAATAATTTAACAATTTGACCCATGACCATGAGGATTTGTTTTCCTTTGTTTTTCTTGTACATTCATGTAGGATTTTAATCTATAACATGACATGCACCCTTAATTCTAAATCGTTACTCTATTCATCCTACTATCCAATAAAGAGCTTAATACCGTATTTTAAAAATAATAAAAGAATATTTGGTCAGTAATCTTATTTCGAAATAACATCTTGATATAAGATTGGGAACATATAAAACTATTGTTGTTTTAATTACATTTCTGCTGATTTCATGTTATAAATACATATTGCATTGGTAATTATTGCAAAAATTCGTTCTAATTAAACCGTATCTGAATCTTATGCCAATAAAAATAAAATTATAAAGAATGTATGGTATGGTTACATGAAAGCATGCCAAAAACCCCTAATTAAGAGGACAATTTCACGTTTTTGGTTAGTGTCCCTTGAATAGGGGTACCCCTATTCAAGGGACACCTCTATTAAGGGGACACTTTTTTAGGTCCCGAAGGTGTCCCCTTAATAGGGGTTCTACTGTATTTTTTTGTATTTATTCAGGTGGAACAAAACTGTTGGTGGGAATAGGAATCGTAGTTCAAGGGTTTGTGGAGTTTGTGATAGGTATATTTGCTTCACAGCTCATACAAACTTTTAGTTGCCTCAAGATCATAAGTTTCGGGGCGTTCATGTATGCGATAAATTGCGTTGGGTATGCCACGATGCATAATCCTAATTGGTCGATTTTGATGAAGGCTACTGAAGGTAAATGTCAATAAAGTAAGTTGTTGAGTAATTTAAAGAACGTTAACCATAATGGTGATAATAGTGATGATAATGATAAAGAAGATGATGATGTTATAAAGATGATGATGATGATGATCTTGGATGATGATGATAATAATGTTGAAATAGTTTCATCTGGTTTAAAAATTAAATATAATATTGTAAATCGAATTCGTTTTTCTAAACCACAGTAAATTACACGTGCGACTTGCGACGTTCATTGTCTGATAGCGTGTAGCTGACAGCACACGAGACGTTGCAAGTACGTATAATTTATTGTAGTTAGTTTAGAAAAAAACAACAAATTCGATTTACAAGATGATTACAATAATGTTTAAAATAATGATGATGGAACTTTTGTATGGAATACAAAAAACATGTATACGAGACTGATCATATATAGAATTGCCTGGCCTGTTGATGTGAGCGGGTGGGTGACTAGACCCCTTGTCCACCACATACCCACTTCTCTCAAACAATAAACATCACACATGCCTTCAATTTCTAGGTGCTGGGTTTTTTTGCACAATGGTCGTGGGATTGGCGTACATTGCTCAGACAGCTCGTCCTAGATGTCAAGCCGCTGTTACATTCATGTTTTCTGCAGCTTATACGTCTTTGGGCTTCAGCGTGGGCTCAGAAATTGGCGGGCTACTGACAGGAGAATATGGTGTAAAAAACGTTTTCTACATGGTGTCAGGCCTCTCAGCATCCGTCGCCATTTTTATTGGAATGTTCGATTGGGTTGGTTGACAATATTACGCTAAAATTTTAAGACCTGATATCTAAAAACCCATTATTTCAACAACAATATCAATAGAATCAAACACTAGGCCTAAGTTAAAAAAAATTCTGCTGAGTTGAGCTAAGGACTTGAATAAGATAGTTGATAAATTTGTGTGTATGTAGGCTATTAGTTTAAATGTTTTTGAACAAGAGCCCTTAAATTTACTGGAATGAAATTAAGAATTTAGGCATTTACTTAAACCTTTCTATAATTAGGCCATAAACAAATTGTTGTGTTGCCCAGGCATCAGTTAAATATCATACGGATATTTTAGGCTCCTCAATTGTACATTCACCTAAGACTATTTTCTCGTTCTTAGATATATTCCATGAACAACAGCAGGGACGAGGTATCATCAACATCTGAACACTACACTGCTGCTGGGCATCATCCAGCACTTACTGGTCAAGATAGTTGTAATTCCGACAAAGACAAGTTGATAGATTATGGGAGTACTGACGGGTCATGAAGGCTGGCTTATCAATGATGAAGTACTGTTACCCCAAAGAGAGTACGGTATCCAGAGTTAAAATGCCTAGGAAACTCAATGTAACACCATAGAAATATTAAGGCAAAGCGATACAAGCTTACAGATGCTATTGAAAGAAAGGTCAAACCATGTATTTTCGAGACAACTGAGATTAAAGTATTCTGGAAACAGTACCGGGACTTGTTGTTTGAGACATCTTGAAAAACCCTTGGGTTTGTTTTTTTCTCTCTCTCTTTCGTGGTTGCATTCTACCTTCAGTTTATTTTAATCATCACAGAATAATGTTATGCACATTTTGTAAATGATATGACTAAAAATTAAATTAATACAATTCATCGTTGTTTAATACCCAGTGTATTAAACTTGTTTTTTTTTTTTCAAATATATGTTTTCATTTTTGTTTTTCTTTTTTTATGTTGAACCATCGTATTAGCTAACAAAAAGATACATACACATATATACATATACATATATGCATATATACATATATATATATATATCATACACATGTTGAAATACAATTCCAGTTCAATGATTGTTTAACTAATCAGTGCACTTTCACTAGTTATAGTACACTTTTTTTTTAACGTAATAGTTTCCTCCTTTGAGTACTAATACTCTCGTGTAATAAATAAGTAAACTAGGTAAACATAAAGATTTGAAATATATACATAGGGCCTATAATTAAGTTAGATATTTCGAAACAAGGTTAGAATGATAGCGCGTGATGATAATAAAATGGAAAACCGTAAGGATAAATTCCAAGTCCAAGACTATCGGTATGTCTTGGCTCTGTGTGTACGTGAGACAGACGCACTATACTCATATTTTCTCTCAAAAACTTTACTTCCAATGATTATGCCATAATTGTTATTTCTTTTAATACCACCAAGTTTGTTAAATAAAAAAAAAGATCAATAAAAACATTACAAAATAGACAAACGAACCTTTGGGTTTGTTCGTAGAAAGCATCAAGACTGGTTTGATGGAAATGACCGAGAGATTCTCCGAATGTTGGAAGATATGCATGCTCTTTATAAGACGAGGGTCGATGATAAGAACACACCACGAAAAAGAGCTGCATATTTGGAAGCTATGAGGTCAGTTCAATCTCAACTTGGAAAACTGAAGGAGGCTTGGTGGTAAAGCTATTAATTAGAGCTCTATGGTTGCCGAAAATAGTTGATAAAAAGCTAAATCATGAGAATTTGTTGGCGCTTCATTTTGACTAATGGTGATGTGATGATGATGAATTTTACTATTTAAAAGTGTCATTTCCGGCCATCTAGAGGTATTATTTCCTCCAGTTTTCTCACCTCAGCCCCGACCATGGTGAGGCTGAGGTGGGTGCGGCCTCACAGCTTTGAAGTAGGTCAAAAAAAGTAAATACATCAAAGAAAGTGTTTCTTTAGTTTTATTTTTTTTATGGTACATATCTCTGGTTGTCGAAAGATCATGTGAAATTTGCTAGCGCTTCTTTTTATTAGAATAATGATGTGGTTATGATGAATTTTACTATATAAAAGTGTCATTTCCGGCCAACTACAGATACTATTTCAAAACAGATTTGCGCCCTTGCACGCATCCCCTACCACCAAATTCTGTATCCGCCCCAGCGTCGGGTGATGGGTGTCCAGGCCGTTTCGAAGGGAAAAGGGGAATGCCCCTCATCCGCTGGCGCCACCACTGGTTCAGGACCCACAACACAACACCTAGCATTATTTTTAACCCTAAGTGGTCTTTCGATACCTCGTCTAAAGATGCTGATTTATATTCAATATATAATACAGTCTGATATAGGCGAGTTCTTCATGCCCTAGTTACATCGAAAATCTCATTGGTTTATAATATGGCGGGAGAGGCTAAATGGAGGAGAGGCTAAACAAATTTGGTTAATAAACTGCAGCCCCGCTACCCATGTCCACGGATACAGGATTTAAAGTTGTGCGGATTTTGGAAATACGGCACCTCTGGATACCCCGGAAATAGCATGTGGCAAACCTGTAGAGCCTTTACCCCTTTCCCTTAAGAGACAGCCAACATTTAAAGTTAGTTGGGATATTGAATTTAAGCCTAGGCCTACCACAGGCACATCATGGTGAACCTGATGTGCACAAATTGTGAAAATACGGTTAGTCTATGTACCAGGAAATAGCAGCTGACAACCTGCAAAGCAGCTACCTCTATTCCAACCCAGGCCCGTAGCCAGGGGGGTTTTTATGGTTCGGGCGAACCCCCCTGTTTTCTAGCGAACCCCCTCGAATTTTTGAATGAGTCCCACCCGTTTTTAAATTGTAGCCTGCATTACAAGCCTACATTCATAGGATATGTCAGCTTCAGAAGTTCGGAGATTTAAATTAAAACGCAATTCCTTTACGATGGCACACATAAGAGATGGCAAACATCGATAAAAACACGGCTGCCGTCTCAACTTTCACTGGCCTTTGGCTGAATGTTTGTAAGAAATGTACCAACCGGTAACGAAACCGGTAGCCGTCTACCTAGAGTAAATGGTGCCACCAAACGAAGCTAAAGTTTTGCGACTTAATCCACCAAATGCAAATAAAGTTTTGCGACTTAATCACCTAAATGTGGATTGTGTGGTTAGTAAATTCCATAGCCATACTGTCCATCGCGCACACTACACTATGTGCTGATGGAGCATTTTGGGGAAATGGACTCTCCTTTTTTTTCATCCCAAACAAAATATTATTAATAAATCAACATAGTCCATCTCAGTCATCATAGCCAGTCTCAAAAGTAGGCTAGGAAGTTTGTTTTAAACAGCAGACACGCTACAGAACGGAGTGCGTCAAAACGAGTGTTTGTTAATGTTTAATGATAATAATCATGAAACGTTGTAGAATAACTGACTTTTTTTCGTCCGCTGTTGCAAAGAAGAAAACGACAGATAGTCCTGGTGGGTTATTGATTTTAAAATCAATTAGCCTAGCCTAGATGTTGACTAGCTAGGTTCGCTCCTTGTTCATTTAGATACAGAATTATACCCCGACGACAACAAAGTGTAGGCATAGGCCTAAGTACAGTAGAACGTACTACAGGTAGGCCTACTAGGCCTAGGCTTTTGTTGAAGTTGAAGTTGAAGTGCATGTACAGGATGCGCCATAGGCCTATATTTAAAAAAATACATTTTGTTAATTATTATTGGTTGGCCTGGGACGGACCTAGGCAGGCAGGCCAGCTTTACCGTCGGAAGTCCTGGGATTCGACGATGACGTCCGTGCACGTTTACAAACGCCATTGATTAGAATGAAAATAGACGCGCTAAATTTCGTTTTTTTTTTGTTTTTTTTTCTTTTTATGAAAGAAAGAATTTATCGAACATTTATCTACATAAAAACAAGAATAATATTGTAGAAATTGTATTTCTAAAGATGCATGTAATTCATATTTTATTTTGTAGACAATAAATATT